TAATTTCAATTTGAATTATCTTTGTTAAATATGATACTTGTCCCTTCTTTAGATATTCTAACTGGTACTTAAGAATTATGTTTGACTAGTAGAGTAGATAAATTCCAAAAATTCTCTTGGCTAGGCCGAGGACACTTTGTGAGCAGACTGCCAGGGGTTTCATCAGACCCACGGAAAGAAAGACAGTTTGTTGACAGATAAAATACAGCATCCATACTCATCTGTAGGATCTTTCTCCATTTTTCTTTCTCTGTGTGAATTAGTCTCTTAATGTCATGATCGATGCCTTAATACGATTTCATTTGTTGTAGTGGAATTTTCCACTTAATCATGCACTCTCACCTAAATCCCCACCTAAATGAGGATTTCAGATATTTCGTGCTCAGTTACCCTTTCTTAAGCTTTTTTCCAATTAGTGAATTAGCTTTTTTCCAATTATTGTAGTACACAATGCTGATGTAACGGCAGTGGCATGCTTCTGGTAAATCTCACAGGGTGTACAAAAAATTTCATTTTTAGTTTTAGAATATATAAGTTACGATATTTTAAGCCTTTCCTTATTTGCTAATGTTCTGTGCCACGATGAAGATGTCTTCCATCACATTCAGTATGCCTTCCATCAATCCAAAATGTCTTCCATCATATTCAGTATACTTATGGTCTATGTTTTCTAGATATTTTTCGACTAATAATAGAGCTTGACTGCTAAGAAAGATCGTTGCTGATCGTTCATTTCTTATGTGATTGGCCAACTACCTGGGTCCGACAAATCAAAAGATTTTAAGTCTTCTTTCTACTACCCACACTCACCTAAATGAGAAAATACTTTATATCCTAATTTCATGTCCTCTAGATGTTCGTTTGGGGTCTATGAAGCAAGTTATTCTCTCAGTTGTTGAAATAAAGGCTGTTTGAGGATGATACATGAAGCTTCTTGATCTTGGTCATGCAAATTGCAAAGAATATCAATATCGTTTAGAATCTCGGCACCATCGGAAGTTGCCGAAGGGTATGACTGTTCATCTTTTCCGTGAAGCCATTTTTCATTTTAGCTGCCATTTGTTTTCTCTCTTCGGTCCTATCTTTTGCTCTGGTTCTATATTCTGCCCCTGAGAGTTTTTTCCTAGACCCTCTCATGATCTAAACACACTCTTAAATTACCATGCATTTTCCTTATTACCACTAATGAATTCACGAATTCTGTTGGTTGGTTAACTTTCTTTATAATACCATCTTTTTCTATTCTTGCTAATTCCTTTTTTAATGGATTTAATAAGCTAAATGGAATTTTCCTACTGGGTTCTATTTTAACAACAGCTCCTGGTTTTAATTTAATATGATATGTATATCCAGTTAAATTCCAAGTTCTTTTAAACAAATCTTTGATATCCTTTTAAAGATTCTGGTAACTTTTCATTGGAATCAGGATTTACTGTACAAATCCTTTGTATTAGGTTTAATTTTTGCAAAGTAGGTAAACCTAAAATAGCTTGGAACAGTTTTATCACATGCTACGACTGACTTGAAATTCTACTTTCATCCTTGTTCCCTTTTGATGTTTCACATAATAATTTACATTTTCCGACTACATCAATTGTAGTATCATTGTAATTATTTCAAGTGACTTTTGATTTAGTCAAACATTTATCTCTTAAATTTAATTTTTTAAATTTAGGCAATGGTAACACGATATACTGAGCTCCAGTATCCAACTTAACAAATAAATATTTAGATATGTTTACGTTTAGTTTTTCAAACCATTCTGTTCTATTTTTAGAAAATGGATTTGTATCTTCTACTGACCCTAAAATATATTCATTACCATTATTATGCATCTCATGCTCTAAATTATTCTGTACTACATTAACATTTTTATAAGTGCACATTATAGAAAAGTGATTTTTCTTTTTACAGTATAAGCAAATCTTATTATAAGCAGGACAATTGTATAACTTAAGAAAAGTTCCACATTTTCTACATGGTTTCGGATTATTGTACTTATTCCTTGATAGTTTGAAGAAGATTTAGTACTTTGTTGCTTTTGTTTTACATGGTAGTTTTTCTTTCAAGGCTGACTTTTTTCATCTGAAGGTGGAAATTTATTACGTTTAATCGCTTCTATTTTATTTTCTTCAGTTAAAGTTTTCAGCTGAAGTTCTGTTAATTCAGAAGCTTTACACATTTTAATACATTTCTCCAATGTTAACTGATCTTCTTTTAATAATCTATCTTTGAGATTTTTATTTAGAATTCCACTTACTATTCTATCTCTTATTAAACTATCTTTTAATTCTGCAAATCCACAGTTGCTACTTAATTTCTTTAAATTGGTTAAGAAATCATCAAACGATTCACCTACATGCTGTGTTCGACAGAAAAATATATGTTTATCAATACTTTCGTTTGCTTTCGGTATGCAAAAAATTTTAAAAGCTTCAATTACTTTGTCAACATCCTTCTTATCTTCTTCACTTAAATTAAAAGGATTAAACTTTTCAAGTGCTTCTTCACCAATAATATGCAATAAAATAGGTACTTTAATTTCAGGTGATTTAGTAATACTACCAGACGCTAACATAAAAATATGAAATTTTTGTTTCCATTTCTTCCAATTTTCGCTTAAATTACCTTCGAAATTTAGATTACTTGGTGGCTTTAATCCATTCATATTTAATTTAGGACTTTAAGTAGTTTATATATACGTATTTTTAGCCACTTCAAACAAAAATAAACAACACACTTACCAGCGATAGAAGTTCCGATTTCACAGTAAACAACTTCCCATCATGTTTTTTTTAGGATATCTTTACGGACGCTGCATGGTTCTTCAAAAAAGATTTTTTTTTTAATCTACGGTCGACTGCACCATGTGTTGTTTTTATATATGTTGGGTATGTGCTCAGTGATGATTAACAGGGCCCACCAGCGGCCGAACGGTAAAGTCGCTGAACACTTGTAATTCGGTCCGAGGTTCGAATCCCGCAAACGGGCTGGCTGCATGGGTGTTTTCGTGATTTTCCCCATGTGTAACGTGTATACGAGCCAGGTTTCCTTAAAAAGTCCTCCACGAAGGCATCCCTTCCCTTAGGCAGATAGCCCTAGTGTGCTTTTCCATAATTAAATACGCCACACCACCACCACTAATGATGATTACAAGATGTACACAAACATCGTTTATTCTACATTACTCATCTACTATTCTATATTACAGTTATGATTAAAGATAATAATGGATACAGTTACATATATAACATGCACCCTTTATCAATAATCACTTTTATTTAAAACCCTTCTCTTCTACTTATAACATTTTGCCTGGGGGGGGGAGATTTTATCATAAACTATACAATTAATTCACTTATCTGTATTACTATTTACTTATCTGTATTACTATGAGGGGCGGATGGAGCTATCGGGAATGTGAGAAATGCCTCGAAGTGCTGGTGTTCATAGCCTTGTTATCTGATATCGAATGTTTAAAAATAGGCGAAACATTAAACAGAATTACGAAATTATACTATAAGGTATTTTCTCCTTCCTTCCAGCATGCCTTCGTGGTGTAATGGTAGCACACTTGGCGCATATTCGAGAGGTCCAGAGTCACGGCGAGGGCGTTGCACATTTTTCACATTTCTGCTTCGGAATAATCTAACTCTACAATGCAACCAAAAAACTCATTAAATAAAAACATGTAATGAAAAAAAGAGAGATAAACTAATAGTAAATGTATTGAACTTTTCGTCTTAATCCCGTCGTCTTTAGCTAGTCGTAAATTCATAACTATTCATTTTAATTCTTTACTCCCTTACTTCTCCTTGCTCAGGCACACTGATAATTTCAGAAAATTGCCGACACGTTGGCAAACAATGGGCGAAAGTATCAAGTGCAAAACGGTAGCGGCACGGTTTGAAAATTTTCTACTTCTATCTGACCAACCCCATCCACCCCTGATTGCTATCAAGACTTAATAATTCTCGGACTGCCTAAATTTCGGCTTCTTTCACTTCAGTAGGGGAGTCGTTTATCTTAAAATTTGAGATCCAAAATTAGTTCATACTAACAACAACATTTCTTCTCCTTGCCATTAACAATGAAAAAAAAGTTTAGCTATTGTCCAAAAGAAAGAGAACTTATAGAACTTAGGGACTGCATGGATTCATAATTTCTACTTCTTTCCCAAGTTAGTAGCCGCCAGCTTTCAATTAACGGAATGAAAAATTGCCATACTTTCCATACTTTTCTTGTGTTCCTGAGATCTCCAGTGCTCGAAGTTTTGCTCTTAGTTCACCGGATAAATCTGTTAAATCGGCCTTGGCTCGTGTCGTCACTGTATTCTTCATGGCTATTAACAAATCACGAACAAGAGTTTGAACTAGATACTTAACAAATCACGAACAAGAGTTTGAACTAGATACTTAAAAAATCACGAACAAGAGTTTGAACTAGTAAATTATCTCTTATAAACATTCTTTTAACTATTCTATGGCCTTTGGGAAATTCTCCGCCGCTGCTGGAAAACTCTGAATCAATCATTCAGCCCTCGATTTTGATTCTACAGATAGCACTAAATGCGGTATCTAATCCTCATCAAGTGTAGATCTGTCCTCATGAATTTTCTGAAATACGTGCGAAAAGACAAGAAATCTTTTGGTTTACTTAAAAAATTTCTTCAGTTCTATTATCAAGAATCTGAGCTTTCTTTTTTCATTTGTAGTTGTAACATATGCTTCCAATTTTCTTTTCCGTTTAGAACATATTTTTAACTGTCTGTCTGCGTAATTTTCAGCTTTTTCGAAATCATTGTTGAATAATTTTTCTCCATCTTCAGTAAACGTTCAAAAGTCAATGACTCTCAATTTTCGAATTTCTGGAACTTGTCAAGAAACTGCAGTTTCAAAATAGAAGGTTTGTCCAAATTTATAGCTTCTGTAAGTACTTCGTTTTTAATTTTCTTCTGGCTGAGAGTAAACGATGTTCTCAATTCCTCCTGTTGTGCTTTTAAAGTATTCAAATCCATCTTCATATAAGAATTCGGATTTAAAAGTTCTGAAATGTAAGTACCCATCCTGCCAAGGGTGCTAAATTTTTACGATCAGAACGCAACCGAACAATTATTTTATGGTTAGAATCTATACCATGCAGAGTGTTCATGAATTCAAGAAAACAAAACTTTTTGTAAAAAATGAAAAATATTTTATTTCACAAAATGACATATACAAAAACAAACTTGCCTTCGCATACTTAACGCAAATTCTACAACAGGTCTTGTGAACACAGATATGGTAATACTAGTATTGTAATTTATATTTCTTAATGCTTATGAAATCTTGAACTGTGAGGGAGAAGTGACATCACTTTTGCAACTGCAGCGCCACGACACTAATTCAATTTTTTTTCTATGCACGACACACAGTTTCGCTATCGTTATCGTTATCATAATATCTTGCAGCAATTTAATTGTTTACCTGTAGGACAATTTGATACTTTCGCTTAGTAACTGAAGTAAAATCATGTTATAACTGTCTTTTAAGTGTAAGATTGTGTAGTTAGCTTTAGATAATAATGAGTGTCGTAAAAAACGCTAATGTTTTAAACTCCAGCTCCAAGAAAAAAAGTGGTGGGATTTTGCGGCAGGCAAAATCTCGTAGAGATCAATCAGCGGAATCTGATCCTATAACAGAAGAAGAATTGTTACAAAAAGATGTTATTACTCCTGACGACGTTTTGAGACTAAACAGAGTTACAGAAAGTAAGTACATAAAAAAAGTATCAGTTTTTAAATGAATATAGCTAATAATCTCTGGAAACTTAGCTATACATTAAAATGTTAATATATAGAGAGAGAGAGATTGCGATATTTGTGCTTTGTTAACCCAAGTTAATTTGTTTCATGTTAAAATAATTCCTGTGGCTTAAAAGTTGAAAAATCTTATTTTATTTATATGCTTTAAAAGTTGTGACTCCAAATCATAAAACATTGGTTTTATTCCATTAACTGAAAAACTTTTTAGTTTGTCAAAAACTTTTTAGCATTAGTATTAAAAAATCTTACCTAATGTTGTCTAAGTGTACGATACCTGTAAATGTAAGAGATAATAAATTTAAATTATCAGCATAAAATGAATAATGAATAAAAAGCAGAAGTTAATATATTTTTAATCTGCTAAGTTTATTTTAAATATTTTTTATATTTGAAGAATATATGCATGTTTAAGAATGTTGTCTGATTCCTTTCCTGAGTTCTTTTATGAAAGTCTTAAATTTTTGAATTGCGACCCGCTAAGTAATTCAACTAATCTGAGTTTTATTCACTGTTTGAAATTAACTTCATGAAGATGTTTTCATAGTTTCCTCATGTTTAATACGAAAGGTGCTAAGAGTGTGCATAGTATTTTGCTTTGTGGAATTGCTGAAGCCTTGCATTTGTAACGAAATATAATTATGTGACAGAATTTTGATTATTTGAGCTTCAGTAAATCATTTTTAATGTCGAAAAGAAGTACTCCAAATTTGTATGTTTTAACTCTTTGACGGTTGTGAGAATAAGCAGTTCTTTCTTTCAAAATACATGATATCTGTCAGTCATAAATCTGCTTGTTTTTTCCACTGCCAGAATCGTAGCTAGGGTTTTCATCGCCCAGGAACAACTGAAGATTTCGCACCCCCTACTGCTTGCCAAGGATGGAAAACATTTAATTCTAAAATCATCATCATAAAATAACATCAGTTTGGCACCCCTTGGATTCTGTGCCCGGGGACAGATGCCCCCCCCCCCTTGCCCCCCCCTCTAGCTATGCCCCTGTCCACTGCAGTAGTGTATAACTGGAAGGCAAGCTGAGCTCGTTGATGACCATCTGAAGGAAAAAATTTTCCTGGTTATAAACAGTTTCCATTAAAATTATATTCAATGTTGAGATATGAAATGTTTAACAAAGGACTTGCACTTTGTTTTATGAAACAAAATGTAAAATTCTAATTAACTGTTATACAAAGCTAGAGAATATAAGTAGTTGTGCATGACAGTAACTCCTCTCCAAAAAACATCCAGTTTAAAAAAAAGGAAATCCAAAGTGTCGTAGGAATTACAAAAAGTAATGAGTAGGGTTAACTATGCAATTCAAATTATACCAGAAATTGCCACTTTTTTTTTAATGATGGTGTTTTTCTTTTGGAAATTCTAAGACCAAGACACGATTTTTAAAAAAATGTTTTGTACGCAGGGTTTAGAATTTAGTTCTTGGTACTTATGTATCATTATGTATCGGTACAACTATTTTAGTTCATCAAGTTTTCAGAACGTGCCAAACTCTAGCAAATAGTCCTTTAGTCTCAAAAAATAACATTATCAGTTTTCGTATACATTCTTTTTGTTGTATCCCAAGCTACAGTGGTTTCTATAGACAAATTGTGATAATTTTTTGTTTGTTTGTTTGTCTTTAATTCAGAGTAATTTGCCAGAAATGGAAAAAATGCTATAAAATTTTTGAAGAAATATGGGTATTTTTTCACAAAATTGCTTAAGGGAGTGATTGCCTTCGTTGTATTCTTAAAGCAGTTGAGACAAAATTTTCATTAGAATAAAAGAAACAGAAGTCTACCTGTAACTATGTTTAGTGATTGATTTTGAAGATAAACACCTAATTAACCTCTTCACTCCTGACATCAGGAGAAAGATGTTCTCCCATTCACCTATGATCTTGGAGTGCTGAGCATAAGTGTATGCTTGAGCTCATTTTGCAATTAAGCAATTTTCACATTTTGTGAACAAGCAAAAGTAATTCTTATAAAATCTGCTTTTTTTATCAAAATATTGTAATTGTTGTATAAGCTATTTAAATGTTATTTCTTATAATATAAATAGAAAATTGTAAATGTTCAGTATTACTAATAATGACTGTATTTACATACTGCAATTATTTTCATATAACAATGAAGTAAAAAAACTTAAGAATCTAAATATCAGTGCTTATTAAATCCTTTTGCCAAATTACAAAAAGTATTACATACTGCAATCATATGCAAATATTTATAGAGAAAGTGTTTCTTTTTGGTGTGGATATCTGTGTCTTCTGTAACATAAAGCATTTGAAAAATCAGACAACAAAAGTATAAGCACCAAAAAAAAAAAAAAAAAAAAAAAAAAAAAAAAAAAAAAAAAAAAACTGCATATTGTATACCTCATGTTACTGATAAGAAAGGAGAAAGTCTGCCATAATGAAACAAAATCTTTCCATAAGTTCATTTATATGTATCATTAATGTGTAAGCATGATTGTAAATTGTTTATTGTTATTAGACAAAATATCTATTAAGAAATGACAACAGCTAATTGCTGGATGTCGTTCTATTTATAATTTTTAAAAAATATTCAGATGATGTACGCTTGAAATGTATAAGGGTACGATGCAGTAAGTATGTTTGTTATGTTATGTACATTTACGAATACGTTACGTGTAGTTTATTAAGATTTATCTTTAAATAAATGTTTGTTTGTCTTTCAAAATCATTTTATGAATGATTAATCTAACTACAAAAGGAAGTTAACATAAATCAGAAGTGGGATTATTCTGAAACCTAAGCCTAAAGCTACAAGAATTTGCTATACATAAATAAATTGAAAAGAATTTGAATTTCAAGGTATGTGCATTGATTGATGTAACATATCTATTACAGAATTTAATTTTATTTTTTTATTATTTTGGAAAGAGAGTTTATTATTTTTTTTTTTTTTCGTTTCTTTAAATTTTAAAACGTCAAACAAATTTATAAAATACCAGTAACTGTGTTCTACTAAGTTGTCAGAATTAGAAGTTAATAATAATAGCATATATATATAATTTCCATTTTAATGAGTACGAAAATGTCTTTTCGGTACGGCAAAGAAATGCGATTTAAGGAAACTGAAGAATTGGGAAAAGATTTAAATGAGAGTCATAAATGAGCGATTTGAAAAAGATAATTTTGGCTAGCAAAGAGTACTATGAAGAATGCGCCAAAGAATGGTTAAACATTATAATAAATGAAAGAAAAGAAAAAGAAGAAATTGAAGAACGAAAACGTCAAGAAGAAATTGAAGAATGTAGGCAAAAAGAAGAAATTGAAGAACGTAGGCGAAAAAAAGAATATGAGGAATGAAAACGAAAGTATGAAATGGAATTTGAACTGCAAAAACTACGTATTGTAGCAGAAAGTAGATCTACAAATTCTGCACCAATGAAAATGCTAGTGGTATGCATATGAATCCAAAGTTAGAGCTTCATCGTTTGATGCAAAAATTTAAACCTGACAAGAATGATATCAGTTTATATTTAATCATGTTTGAATGTTTGGCTAAACAAGTTGAAATACCAGAAAATACATGGGTTACTCATTTGTTTGGTTTATTGCCGTATGATATTACTCAGTTAATCGCCAGAGAAACCGATGAGATTGCAAGCGATTATAAAGAAGTTAAAAGGATCTTTTTAAAACGGTACAGGATGACATCTGAAAAATTTCGCCAAAAATTTTTTACACACTGTAAGAGTGTAGGAAACACATGGAAGAATTTTGTGTATGAGTTAAGAATTTTTTTTTAATGAATGGATAAGTGGAATTAAAGTGGATACTTTTGAGAAACTTGGCGACTTTATTGTAGCAGATCAGATAAAGTATCTCCAGAAGTAAAAGATCATTTTATTGACGTCTGGTCTAAGTTGATTTAGTTGAAAAACTAGATGATTATGATACCTTGAAATCAACTTTCAACAATAAATAACTGCATAAAGAAGGGTCTTACGACAAACGAAACTCCTTTAAAGATGGTTCAGTTGCTACAATCAATGAAAAGAAAAAACTCTATGGTCTCACACATAATGAAAAAGGTGAACCAAAATGCTTCAGTTGTAATAATTTTGGATGCATTTCAAAGGGCTGTCCGCTGCCCAAACCAATAGTAACATGCCGAAAATGTAATAAAACAGGTTATAAAGCTAAAAGTTGTGTTACTAAAGCTGAAAATAATCATTCAAATGATTAAAATTATTCTGTTGAGCAAGTTGGCAAAAATTCAGAAGACAGCAATTCATATTTGAAGAAAGCAAAACTGAATAATTCTGAAGAAGTACAGGCTTTAATCGATACAGGGAGTTCTTGTTGTCTCTTAAGGACTTCAGTTGCTCAGAAACTTAACGTGAAACCCGAACCTGCTATGAATGAATTGTATGGTTTTGGAAATCAAAGGGTGCCTACAGTGATTTCTATAGGAATGGTTAAAGCCGATATTGAGGTTGATAATGTAAAAGGCTAAGGCATAAATGTATACCTTGTTCCTGATAATGCACAGCCAGTTGATCTAATCATCGGACAGACATGGCTTGATCTCCCTCACATCGCTTATATCAGAATAGGAAAAAGATTTCACTTTGGGTATAGGAAAGATGAACTGTTTAGTAACCTCCAAATTAATTAAAAAATAAATCGAGTCTGCCTTAAAGCTCTTGAGGCAAATGAATTAGTGAAAACTACGATCAGTCTTGTCAGTTCTCAAACAAATTCTCGATTAATTATGATAGAAAATCCTTCCGAAGGCATTGGCTGTTTATCAGAAATTAAAAATGGCGAAACTTGTATACCAGTGATTAACGTTGGCGATAGAAGTGTTAAAATCCAAAAAGATCAATTCGTTGGGAGAGCAGAAGACATTGCACTATGTTTAAATATTGAAATTTCTGAATTGAGCTCGAACTTAAAAAAAACGGAAAATATTAACAACATAAAAGTTCCTATAAGTTTAAGGCAAGTTAAAATTGGCTCGGATCTCGACATTAATCACCAGCAAGAGTTATTGCATCTTCTGAATGAATACAGAGATTGCTTTGCACTAAATATTTCAGAACTAGGGTGCACAGATCTCCTAAAAATGGACATTAAGGAAATCGAAGGTTCAAAGCCGGTATGTATGAAGCCTTATAGAACAAGTGCCTCTGAAAGAGCTGCGATCAAAGAAATAGTTCGAGAATGGGAAGAAAATGGAATTGTAACAGAAACACGATCCCCATATGCTAGTCCTGTCATATTAGTAAAGAAAAAGACTTGTGAATACAGATTAGTTGTTGATTATAGGACTGTCTCAAAAATCAAAGAACTGTACTGGTTTCCTGCTATGAAGAGATATGTTCGTCAACATATATCAAAGTGTTTCGAATGCCTCATCAACAAAGTTCCAGGGGGGGGAGATAGGGTCTTCTGCATCCTATTCCCTCAGGCCGCAGACATTTTGCAACAATACACATTGATCATCTTGGACCTTTTATCACAAGTTCTAAAAGAAACAAGGAATTGTTAGTCATCATTGATAATATGACCAGATTCGTTCAACTGTATGCTGCGAAAAACACATCTTCGAAAAACGTACTGAAATCATTAATGAGTTTCGTAGAAGAATTTGGATTACCAGATTGTATAATATCAGATTGATTACCAGATTGTATAATATCAGATTGAGGTTCTTGTTTTACTTCAAAGGAATTTCAAATCTTTTGCAAGGAAAAGGGAATTCTTCATACATTAAATTCAACCTCGCATCGAACAGAACAATTTTATCAACGATAGTAAACTTCAATGAAAAGTAAAGATCAAAAGGATTGGGGCAAAAGAATTAAAGAAGTTGAGAGAAACTTGAATAATACAATCAATAAAACTATTGGGAAAATGCCATTTTAAATACTTCATAGATATATACCACAATTTCAAGATGGAGTTTTGAGATTACTTGCTGATGAAGAAGCAGAAGTTCGGAAGGAAAAGGAAAAACTACAAAAAGAAGCTAGAGAAATGATTGTTAGAGAACAAGAAAAAATGAAAACTTATTATGACAAGCAGAAATCGGGATCTCTATCATTTGAACAAGGAAAAATAGTAGTAGTTAAAAAAAATTCAAAATCTACACCAGGAGAACCAACCAAAACTCAACCTAAGTATTGTGGCCCAATGGTTGTGACAGAAGTACTTCCGGGTGACACTAATAGAATATCACAACTAGAAAAAGCCTGCGATTGTCGCTTTTATGCATCAACTGCTCATGTAAGTCAACTAAAATATTGGAAAAATGCAGAAGCAAATGATGATGACGATAATGACGATGACGAACTTAAAAGGCCCAAGCGAACAGTGCGCAAACCATTGCGCTATAGAGACTTTGTCTAGGACCTTTAGAATTTTTTTAATTATATTTCATTTTATTTTTTCCCTACCTATTATTATATTTTTGTTGTTGTTTATTTGTTGTTTTAATGTATGATAAGATTTGGTTCAATTGAAAAGTCAGGATGGTTGAATGTAAGCACGATTGTAAATTGTTTATTGTTATTAGACAAAATATCTATTGAGAAATGGCAACAGTTAATTGCTGGATGTCGTTCTATTTATAAATTTTAAAAGATATTCAGGCTTGAAATGTATAATGGTACGATGCAGTAAGTACATTTGTTATGTTATGTACGTTTACGAATATGTTACGTGTAGGTTATTAAGATTTATCTTTAAATAAATGTTTGTTTGTCTTTTACAATCATTTTATGAATCATTAATTTAACTACAAAAGGAAGTTAACAAATGATATTTTGTGGCAGCTTTAAAATAGGAAATCTCTGTGATTGTCGAATTAATCTACATATTCCTACATTGATTACTTATAAGTCTATTTATAATAAAGATATGAAATTAAGCATAACAAATAATTATAGTTTTGAAAAATATCTACAAAAAGTTTTATAATTCCTAATATTTCTTGTTTTATATTTATTTTTTTATTTATTTATTTTATTTTTTATTTCAGATTACCTTTGTTCTCCTGAAGCTAATGTATATGATATTGACTTCACACGTTTTAAGATACGAGATATGGAAACTGGAACAGTTCTTTTTGAAATAGCAAAACCACCACCACCACCAGGTTGGTAATTTCAGTTTTGTTTTATCATTTTATACTTTTTTTTAAGTCTATGTTGTTATTATTCAGGGATGGGTTTCTTCCAGAAGAAACTGGAACAAACAAGCAGTGATGCACCTGTAGGTCTGCTAAAGGGGATAAATTTATTAATAACAGTTTAACATATTTGAAAATAAATGTTAGATTATTTCTTTAAAAAAAAGGCAAAGTAATCATTTAACTAACTTTTCCTTAAAATTCTAATAAGAAGTATCATGCATATCTGACTCGTATACAATATGTTACTCTTTGTTAATGATTACATATACTCAGATTTTTAATAATTGATTCATTTTTGTTTTCTGCTTTTTCTGAATTATTATATTAATTTTCTATTTTTATTGCTGTTTGGAACTGAAATTGGGTTTAGAATTCCATGCAAATTCATAGATGTGATAGAAGCAGATATCAAAACAATATTGCATGTATACATGTTACTGAAGGAAGTTATTGTAGGTATACAAATGAAGCTAAATGTACACTTAATGACTATATAAATTATTTAGTAATACCGTGGTATTACATCTGAACACGATATAAACATATTACCATTAATTAAGTCAATTTTTTCTCATTTTCTCTGCCATAAAAAGAACTTGCTAAACCTGTCAAGAATGCAGTATTTAAAAAATTTTACTGTATCCAGATGCTATATGCAGTGTATAAAACTTTTAGCATAAAAAGGAGTGCATTTATGAAATTTCACATGAATTGTATAATGAAGTTCAGATTAAAGTTCAAGAAGGATTAGAGCAAATTTTCTGTTCTTGAATTTACCTATTCATCATCCAAATTTCAAATCAGTTTTATATAGCTAAAAAGTGGGAGGGGGTGAATTATTACAAGCATGCAGATGAGGCTTTTTAAGTTGTACAGAAAATGGAAATATTTAAATTATATAAGCATTTAATATATGCATAAAAATACAGATAAAATAATATAAAATTTATTTAAAAATCAGATTCCAAACCTATTTCTTCTGGCCTATTAAGAAATTTTTTTTCTGATGTGAAACAGAGAGAAAACTCTAAAAGAGAAAATAGTAGCAAACTTTGTCACCATAACATGAATTAATCGCTACTGCAACCATATGACATCACTAAGTTTAAAGAACTATATAAATTTCAGTTTTAAGACTGGAGAATTTTCTATGGTTTATATTTGAATCTCCCAAACAATGAAGGGGATTATTTTCCAGTTTACATAACATGAAGTTTTATTCAAGTCAATCGAAGAGTGCATGACAGTTATCAAATGACATGGAATCAGTGGGAATGTGAGTCAGCAATTGGTTTCCAGAAAGTATATTACTACTTGTTACTGCCATCAGATTCATCTACTGCTGGTGTAAGGAAATGACATCAATAGGCCACCCAGACACTAGAGTAGTTAGGGGAGCCAAGTGAGATACCAAAAGCCTGGGTTCAAATCCTGGAAAAGGCATGGTTGTAAGTGTCTGTCCCTTCATGGGAGGCAATGGTGGTCACCTGTTAGGTGCCTCTACAATAAAATGGCCACCACTTCTGGCCTTGGGAGTGGCCATTGTCGAATAGGCAAGCGCTCACCATTAGTTAAAAAAAAAAAAAATAAATAAATAAATAACATCAATGATATTATATATGGAAGAATTCAGCATGGGGGATACTACTGTTTTAGACTGGCACAATTATTTGAGAGAAGTTTGTGTCTACAAGACGGAGAATCTTGAAAGCAAAAAAATAGACAGTGAAGGCTTGCTTATAGATATTGATGAAATCATCGTTTGGAAAGAAAAAAGTAATATTTGCCATATTCAGTGGTATTTGATAGGAAACTAAAGAAACTTTTGTTACAGTGCCTGACCAAAAAGCCATGCCTTTGTTAAATGCTGTCCTCATGGAATACCTATCAAGCAGAAGAATTCCAAAAAGCCGGTTTCATGCTTTTCAAAATGGCTAAATATTCATTCCGAAATTCCATTTTGTAAATTAACATTTAAAAGTTCATACACAACATATTGAGTGAGTATTGGGTTCTCAAAATGACAGAATAAAAAACATAGGTTTGCAATAAGACACCATTTGGAGTCATACCTAGTGTAGTTCATGTGACAGCAGAAAGTTGTAACTCAGGGTAAGAAAAAAGCCTTTGAAGTGATTACTAAACATTATCCACCCAAAATAAATAAAAACTAATTGTATCAGATTACTGCCAAAATTAGCCAATACTTCTTCCTTTAGCACTTTAATAGCCAAAAAACTTGCCAACTCTGCTGTTGTTATAATTTTTAAAAAATCCGTGTTTACATCATTTCCATATTACATATCATATTCTATCGTATCCATCTCGTATTCACATTACACATGGGAAAAACCATGAAAACCAACCATGCAGCCAGCCCATTCACCTGGGTTTGAATCCAAAGCAATGTCTGGATTCTATGCTTTGAAAGTTGGCTTCAGTTTATGTGCCACCAGATGACACTCTTAGTGAAAACTAGCTTTATCCAATAATATGTAAGAGAATAAAAAATACCTTCTTAAATCTTTATATATAATGAAGAGGATTATAAAGCTATAAAATTTCTGTGAGTATTATGATAACTTTTATAGTTTTTTTTTAAAATTTTTATTATGATTTAAAACTAATTATTGATAGTTAACATATTTTAAATAAAATATTTATTTTGCAGCTTTATAATTGCTCTTTATAATTTTTGCAGGGGTTACTGAATTATCACGAAAGTAAATGGTTTCTGTTTTGACTCGGAATTTCAACTTCATTTAATATCTGATTTATTTTCACTAAGAACTATAAATGTATGAATTAAAGAACAATAAACATACAAAATGACATTACAATTATCAAATGCATACTAGGAAAAAACTTAATAGCAGTTCCCAAGTCCAGGCATTTCACAGGCATTGGTTGGCGACCACTTGGAGTTAACTTTACATCATCTGGAACCTCATTGTCACTAAATTCTGTTTTGGGTTAGCCTCGGTTTTCTGAGGTACTTCAATGAAGTTCTCAGCAGAAGTAAGCTCCAAAGGATAAATTTGCTGAAGGAATCATATAATTTCACATTGGTTGTTCTTAGCTTTGAGACACATTCAATATTGTCTTTGCCAAGAAACAGTTCAACTACCTGTGCTAAAGGCCGATTTATTCTGTTTGGATTCTCTAGGAGAAATCATCTTTCTTCATTAGATTTTAGATGAATTTGGTACCAGTTATCTAAGATATCGTTTATAGAAACATTTTTGTAAATTTAGCCATAAGGTAATGCACATGTTTCAGTAAGTGCTAAGAATCAATTAAATCTAAGTCAGTGGTTTCTTATTTACCTAAATCTTGAATAAAGTGAGCAGACATGAGAAGCCTCAGTTCGTTAGACTAACCTGACAAATATGTGAGTGGTTATCCATTTATAGTGGCCTCACAATTAGTGAGCAAAGTCAACATTTCTTCATATGCGACACAAGATTTTCGCAAACACTTCCTAAGAAGTTTCTTGATACAACAAGCCATTCTTTCCCCAAACCCGTCATACCGTGGGGCAGATGGAAAGCTGAATATCCACTTGATAATCATTAAAGCACTTTCCCTTTAAATGAAATCTGAATCCAGAGATTTCAAAGCATTTGTTACACTTATAAAGTTTATACGACTAACAGTATAAAGAGTAAAATATCTTCCTCTTCTTGCCGTAAATCTTCATAATACTTGCATAAATACATCAGTAGACAGGACAAAACTAGCTCCAGATGAACTGCTTGATAGACAGCACATGTGAAAAGTACTATCCATACTTCACCTCCTCCATATAGGAAAAAAGGTCCAGCAAGATCTGTAGTGGTTACTCTCTGTTCTTTGGGAATCCAGAATTTTCTTTTAATTGTGTTAGTATCGTTAATACTCCAGTGTGCATCAAAGAACTGTGGGTATCAGTCTCTCTAGAACAGGATGGTCTGGTAAAGCATGTAAAATTCTGTGGAGCTTGACTAAAAATTACCTTCAGAATTTTGTTTTCAATGTAAAACTATATTGTGCTATTATACTTCTCATGTATTTCGGAAGGCCATTCAGACTGGATGATTTTTTTCAGAATGTTTTCTGCCCTTTCTGTTTCTTCATGTGAAATCTCATCTTTCTTAGAGTTTGCCTTGATATTGTTACAAAATCTCAAAACATAAGCAGTCATGCAGAGAGTTCTTTTGTAGCTTGAAAAATACATAACATTTTTCTAAATTTCTTTTCCTTTTTAGTGACTAGATTTGTAACAACTGTCTTGCCTCACAGAAGTGCTTCCTCTGTAACAGATAATTTCAATATTAACCAAGATGATTCCCTTCCATACAACCAGGTTGGATCTTCCCTCTATATTGACATTCCCAGGAATGTATCTCTGATCATCTATATTGGTCAGTTCCCTAATTTCCTTCACCTGATTTCCAACGAAGGTGTTCCAAGGTTCTGTGTTTGTAGTCCATGCCAAAACTATCATCAAGTCCATCCAAAAGTATATCTTCAAAAGAAAATTCAAAATTTCTAATATTATTGAACCAATTCTAGCTCCCATAACAGCTCGTAAGAGCTCCAATCATGAAATTATCAGCCTCTTAATCCATACAAAATGTCTTCAAAAGAAAATTCAAAATTTCCTAATATTATTGAACCAAAAGTTCTATGCAATATCCTTCAAGAAATTCTACATTTCTCAACGAGATCTAAATATTTATCCCTTCCTTGATAATGTAATTGCAAATTGGATGGCAGCTATTCATCCCAGCCCAACTTATTATGCGAAGCTTCTTGGAGTGTTAACTTTGGCATTAGTGTTGTGGGTGACATAAAGCCTATGGAATTGTATTATACTGTTAACAACAGAAAGTACAGTCAAAAGTCTTTAATCCGGACTCGTCGGGACTTTGGTTATCGATTTCTCCGGATTATAGATCATCAGTTTAAATCTGGTAAGATGG